ACTAATTGGTTTACGATGGTCATGATGCTAACACGTGGTGTTTTGACACAATTTTACCGCGAGTGTTACAACTATGTCATAATTACTACGCGTAGTACGTGTAGTACACGTAGTACGCGTAGTACGTGTAGTACGCGTAGTACGTGTAGTACGCGTATTACGTGTAGTACGCGTAGTACGTGTACTACGTGCAATACGCGTAGTACGTGTAGTAGGCGTAGTACGTGTAGTACGCGTAGTACGTGTACTACGTGTAGTACGTGTACTACGCGTAGTAATTATGACACAGTTGAACCGCCATAAGTTCGAATATTGGGCGTTCGCGTGTTCGACTACAAATTCGTTTGCATGTTCACATTAGAAACGCCAGTCGCGTCTTCGATTCAGCAGCGTGCGCCACATTTCGACTCGAAATTCGCTTGATCGCATTCAGTGGGAACCGGCCTTTTGATTTAAAGAAATTGGTTATTCAATTAAAGCATAGGCCTACCGTGTTTGTGTAGACCAAGAACTATTGGAAATGTGTAAGGGCGTGTTTCTGCTGAATAACGCCAAATACACGTGTTTTTTTTTATAAACGGTTAAATTCCTCCTGAACGCGTTTCTAGTGCAAAGTGCAACTAATAAAAACACGGTAATGAGAGCATTGGCAGGTGGGTGGAGCTTAAATGACGGTCACCAACGGAAGTTGAAGCTGGCCTTATTTCTTACGAGCTACAGCGCATGTTGCGAAAGAAGTAAACAACACACCACGAAAGTATGAAAAAAGTATGGTATGACCTTCAAGCATGTCATCCTATTGGTTCATTTTTGTTCTTCGCCCCGAATTTCCCGCGGACGGGCGATCATTTCAACGAAGAGGTCACCGACGGCTCATGAATAACACAATGATATTGCGACAGTTGTATTGATAAGTATCGGCATCTATGTTGGGTCAAGGCAATACCGAGAGGGAGAGTCAGTTAAAAAAACAAAGCAGTGTTTATAACGGGGTGCGACACAGGTTTCGGTCACAACCTAGCACTTAGACTTGATCAACTTGGCTACCTTGTGAAGTAGTAAACATACTGTGTACATAAGTATTTACACTAGGGAAAAGTTCTATAGGCATTCGATAAGCATTGACCCAAAGATACATATATCAATTATTTTGTGCTTGAATAACCAAAAAAAAATCCAAAACAAATTATTAGTTAGCAGTAGGCTAGTGTTAAGGTGGTAAGGGTAAGAGTTTTAGTGCCGGATTCAATCAGGATGGCGAAGGGATTTGTCCAGTAGTGGCGCCAGCAGGGGAGGGACAGGGGCATCTCCCGTCTGAGAGGCCTGAAAACCCCCGTCCCGTCGTCGAAAAAAATATTAATTTGTGCCTATCCACAACGTTATAGGCTATAGATTCATTGCCAATTCCTAATAATATTTTGGTCTGAAAGCACAATTAGTTTTAGGCCATAGGCCTACTAAGCCATAAAAAAACTCTGCCCATAAACCCTACTAGGAATTTTTTATTCCGGGATCCTGATTGAGGCTTTAGACGGCCACTTGGTTCATACCCTCCTGTCATACATGTCGGACCCTCGTCGGTAAATTTCTGGAGCCACCACTAGGTACATTTATCTACTGTTGATAGCAATAAATATTAGTCCCCCGGACCATAGATCCTCGATTGGCGCTGCGCGTCCACCTGCCGAAACACCATGGGTCCGCCCCTGAGTTCGGCTAGGTCGGTCTCCGGGTATCCATGTATGAAAAAGGAGGCGCATGGACAAGCGGCCCACTCCACAATTAATTTTCACCAAGTATCCTAATAATATTGGTGGTAGGTAGGAGATAGGCTCATTCTAAGAGTAATGGCCCTTTCCGGAGTGTCAGTCGAACTTAACAACTGACCAATCAGAACAGATCCAGGAATAATACGCGCGTGTCTAACATGCACACGTGTTGTGTACGAATGTGTTTTAACAGCTGTCGCGCGTTTGTGGGGCTTAATGGCGGGGCTTAGTGGAAAGTTGCACTGTAGGCCCCTATTTCAAATTGAATTTGTTGTTATTTCAGAGAATAATAACTCAAGATTACTGCAGTAAGTTCATCAGGCAGCAAGCAATTAACAATAGTTGCATGTGATGTCACTTCTGATGAATCTGTTTTAGCTGCAAAAGGGAAAGTGCAAATATCACTTCCTTCTGGATAACAGCGTGAGCCTGCGTAAACTTCATTGAGTGTTTATGAGACATGCGCATAATCCTGGTTATTAAAGCCCGTAACTCACGGCACTCGAACGTCGTCGGCCGACGCGGTTCTTATGAAAAAAAACAAAAAACGCAACGCCACGACGCGCGCGCAATAGATCGTTTTTAGCGTAATGACGATCGTTTAGACTGCCGCCGACTATCAACAGACGACGACGTCGCACCGTCTAGCGCTCACAGGAAGCGGAGTTGGGTTCGTGCTGTTGGTTTTATTATTATTTTGTGCAAATAACATGTTATAATGTTTCTTACAGATTTAAGCACATGATGCAACTCTTTGATTATGCATATTATGAAGCTAAAGTTGATAGTGTATGCCTACATAGAGTAGTTATCGAAAAGTTAATTATATGGTTTCTAATGTTTAGGACGTCCCCGTTTTATTAATTCTATATTTGAGTAACGTACACATCTTCAATTAAAGCGGACCATTACTTGTATTTAAACTATGGGTCCGGAATAAAATTAGGGTCGCCGGGATATTTTGAAGGGCATTTAATAGTCATAATAATAAACTGTAGTTTTATATAGTGCGTATCCATCAAATACGATGCTCTGGACTAGGAACTCGATGAATGACTTTATTCGCCCCCAAGGCTCCCTTCGTGTCTGTACTACCCTATAGCAAGCCGTTTTATCATTTACCTCTCAATTGCAGTTAAGTCGAATGCATTACAGTTAACTGTAATTCAATTACAGTTAACTCGAATTGAATTCAAGTTAACTGCAATACATTGGAATTGCAGTTAACTTGAAATGAATTAGAGTTAACTCTAATACAATTGCAGTTAACTTGAATGCATTTCAAGTTAACTGCAATTGACCATTTTCGGTAATTTCATTAAGTGATTGTGATTGGCTGCTGTATTTAAGTTAAGTGCAATCGACCATTATATGGGAATTCCATTAAGTGACTGTGATTGGATATTCACTTATAAGGTATATTTCCATTAAGTGATGGTGATTGGCTGTTGAATTTCCCGCCTGTGAATCGTCATCGACTGCCTAGAGCTAGAGAAAAAGTTTTTAATCCTTTTGCTATACGGTTTAATTGTGTTTAAGTGGTTTATTTAAAAAAGTACGAAGTTACCCAAAATTAAAAAAGTGTTATGTCTGAATCTGGGAGGCATTTGGAGCAAGTGGCTAATGTGGCTTCTCAAGCTATTGCGCGTGCCAGAGACCACGTCAGGCATAGGCCTAGGCCTTCTACTACTACTGCTGCCAGTGCTACGAGTAGGCCTAGTAGTAGTAGTAGTAGTAGGCCTACTACACCACGTCTTCTAGGCCTAGGCCTAGTAGTACTACCACCGCGTCTGCTGGACATCATTTAGCTAGCACTGGCGGCAGTAGTATACTGACAGTAGTACTAGGTCTAGTAGGGGGCCTATATCTGCAACAACTGATAGTTGAAACGGCGTTTTTCCTTTTTCATCTGCCGCTGTAGGACTAGGCCTAGACCTACCCCTATTGCTCCCC